ATGGTAAACGCCATAGCGTGCACTATTGAGTTATGGATGCACTTGGGAGGTTTGCTAAGCACTCAAGAAACGTGCTTAGCAACCTCCCGCGTGCATCCATAACTCAATAGTGCACGCTATGGCGTTTACCATTTGTTTTATAACATAACATTGAGACATTTGTTAATTGAATGAAAAATTGCACTCTCGGAAATACACCTATTTCTCGAGAACCACTCATTAGAATTTCACGAAATTTGGCACGAAAATACTTTAGGCAATAAGTAACTAGAGTATTGAAAATAATTGAACTTTAGCAAAGGAAATTCTAGATATTCCAGTGAACCTTGAACAACGGATAATTAAAGATCTCTGTGTTAAATTATTAGCAAAATGGTGTTAACTTGTCAGAATCGTTACAAGCTTGTTGCATGCAAATTATAAAGCAAATCTAACGACCAGATTTTCTACAAATAAACAAAACCGATTTTAAAGGCCTGTTTATAAATATTCATGTTGCCATGGCAACGACACATACGTCAACTTAACCATCAAAAAACCAAAGTTTGTGTTGTTAACTTGCTTGCTGCCATTTTTGGCGACCGAGGGATCAAAGGTTTTGGAGAAAGTGGTGAATGAAACACAGGTATCAAAAACTGTGTTCAGCCACCTTAAGAGGGTCTGTATTGGGTTAAATGACAACTGAAAAATGGTAAAAAAAATAAATGACAACTGAGACATGCCCCAAAATTTAACGGACAACTGACATGTGTGGTCATATTCACTAACAACACATTAAAGGCTTTAGCAACCCATTGTTCTTGTAATGGCTACCAAGTGCCACTTGATATTTTCCAAATAATTCTTCAATTGAAAGCTCTAAAATAACAATAACAACAGTAATAATAATAATAATAATAATAATAATAATAATAATGGTAATAAATACCATTTTTAGTTCTAGAAGTATTTGGTAGTAGATTACAGGAGGGCAAAATAACTTGCCATTGTTGTGTGAGTGTTTGTGAGTTTTTTCTTCCCTATTCCTCTCTGGATAGCCAACATGCCTTGGTTTGATTTAATCTGGCCACTAACAACATAAATATTACTGGCTAAATTCATTCGGAAGAAATGAAATTTGTAAAGGTAGGAGTTTGCAAGAACCTTGAAAAATTAATGCGGTTTAATCATCCTTATTATATACTTTTAATTAAACGTGAGTGTAATCTAAGCAAATAATATCGACAGGATATCAAATTTAGAAAATAAATATTAGAAATACCTCTTTGTTGATCAATATTTTCATGACATTGTTCTTTTCGTGGGCCATCGGCATCCTATAAATGACAATTTCCTCATTATTTATGAGGAATTCTAACCGAATTCGCAAAAACATGCCCGCATTGACTCAAAGGCAGTCCCAGCGGCTAGAGTAAAATTCCCAGAAACACAGTCAATATCAAGCCCGAATCCAGGCAAAAACCTAGCGGGCATGTTTTTGCGAATTCGCTCAGATATATTTTTTTATGTTTTAGCGTGTACAACGAGAGCTAAGAGAAATAAGAGTTAAAAATTTTTCTACCTTCTGCTTGTTGCAGGTCTTTCTTTTCCGCAGTATGTATTTTCCGTGTTCCTTGAATTTTTTGTCCGTTTCGACTTTTCATTTAGTACACCAGTTTGTCCCAGGTTTGTATGTAGTTTGGAAAAGATTTTCCCACCTGGTCAAAGACCTGGCACAGGCGGTTTGGGATAGGTATTTTGGCCATATTTCGGCTATGCCCCAATGACGACGGACACGAACATCGTTTGTCGTTTCGATTCATCTCGTTCCTGTGCTTCAGACAAATCCAGGATCCGGACGGAATCCCCCCAGTCCTTGCCAAAATTTTCCAGCTCGTCTAAGCGAAGCCGAATCACCGTAATTGTCTTTTCCTTCTCCAGTTTTTCCTTTTTTACACACCGTTTGTCGTCCGTTTCCGTTGCGTCACGCATTGTATGACTAATGAAAACCACAAAATACTACGCCGTCGGCTCGTAGCATGACACGGTTTTTCAGGAATTTTTTTGTAAAACTCAAAACAAAATGGTAAATCAACAGAATACCGGTAATTTAATAAACTTTGTGTCTGAAAAGTGCTAAGTTTTACCTGCTTTCTTTTCCTTTAACAAATTTCTATGAACGTTACAATTTTTTTTTTCGTAAATTCTGCATGACACCGGTTGTTTCCCATGTTTCCCTTTACATTTTTGCGCGGGAAATTGGCGCGCGGCTGCCAATAAATGTACTCATTTGCGCGTGCCCGACGTGCCCATTTGACCGCTGTGTTATGCATGGGTTACCTTTACTTTCCTATATGGGTATGGTGCTCCGCTTAGGGGCCCTTCGGGCTGCCGGAACTCCGCTGTTAGTTATGTGAAATGTTTGTGTGGGAATAACTGAATAAAGGCGAAGAAAGTTTTTAAAACATGTTCAGATAAGTGATCCGTCGCTCTGCTGACCAACTAACCGCACCTCAACTTTAGGTTTATATGGTGGTTTAAGGTTTATATTAACTAATTAGACCTATTAAACATATTTTTACTTATTAACTACCTATATATTTTATATAATATTAGTATTTTATATTTTATATTTGTATTTATGTTAGTGTCCCCAATTAGTTATCTTTAGCTAAATACTCCGACACTTCAAATAAAGTTTATGTATGTATGTGGTGAAGCTTGAACCACAAGGGACATTGTTTGATCATACTGAGTCGACGGTGGCATGTCGATTCTCGTGGAATAAACTGGAACGTCTAACTGTGGACCGCAATTTTGCGGTTGAGGTATTTATATATGTGTTTTCGAGTTCCTGTTACGTGACTCGAAACACATCTCTCGGCTACACATAACTTGCATATATTATAGCGGAGCTCCGGCGGAGTCCCATAGCCATATAGAAAGGTAAATGAAACCCATGAATAGGCCCTTTGCAGGATCCGGTCACATGGTACGGAATTAATCACGCTGGGACGCAAGGTACGCAGTGGGACTTCCAAAACAAAGGAAAGTCGGGCTGGACTGGTACGAGTTCCTTTGTTTTGGAAGTCCCACTGCGTAACTTGCGTCCCAGCATAATTAATTCCGTACCATGTGACCGGATCGTGCAAAGGGTCTATTGATTTTCTTATGGTTATCATGGCTAGCGGTAATACTCGTGGGCGCTTACCAACGACGACGACGGAGTTGCGCAAAATGGCGCCATACTCCAGCTGAAAGATTGACAGAAACATGCAGCCTTGATTTATAGTCTCCTTCTTTAATATTGGACATCCATGCTATAATCAATTGACACCTGTCAAAACAAGTTATCTGCTGACTAGTATCACATGACCATATCGCGGGCTCAAGTTAAGAGCCCATCGAGGTCACGTGTTATTTGAAGTTGACCGCTGAGCGAGAACATGTTTTCTATTCGATCGCCGGCTCATGTCAGGTTAACTTGTTGTAAACAGGCCCGGGTTGTTCGAACTCAGGATTAAAAGATAACAGAAGTACAAATAATTCTTGTATACAAATGTTTTTCACTACTTTTGTTTTGTGTATTTTGAGATTATTCAAACTCAAAACAGAAGGCCAAACATTATACAGAAAACCTCACTGCAAAGTTACAAAACTAAAATCAAAATTCTCGCTTAACCTGGGTTGTCTTAATCGGGCTTTGAACAACCCGGCCCAGGAGCTCCGCTTTTAGGCTTGGCTAAATCTGTATATATTACTACCTTTACAGTATTCACTTATTCTGATTTATGTATGAATTTTTTGCTTGTAGTTTGAGTCTAATCACAATGTTCATTGTGCATGCTAAAATGTGATTCGCTAATTTACATCGGCCCATTCATTAACAAGTGCTGTAGTGATACATCTACTTTTTTCGCCAGTAAAACTACTCGTTCAAGATCGCGTAATTACAATTACAAAAACCTACGTCTTTCTTTGTTTTGCTGTTGTTTTTATTTGATCGGTGACGTTAGTAACGTTCCCGGCTGGGGTCTAGCATTTAGCTTGCTATCATAATATGGATATTATACCAAGAATTGTAACAAGGACTATAATAACAATATTCGGGTCACGTTTAACCGAGGTAAGAGTATGACATCATTACATGTACCATACAAGATTGACAATAGTGCTTGGCCAATTTCCGTGTGAATTACACGAAGTACAATGCCGAAATAAGAATAATCCCTCGATGGACTATGAAACAACATATTTCTTGCCTCTTCTCCATTTTTCCCAAGAGAAAATATGGAGGAACTTGAGGTTACAACCCATTGTGAAAGAAAACGAAATGATCAGATAAATAGATTACAATCCATTATTAAAGGCGAAAAAAAAACCCATTTAACTTTACAAATGATACAAAATTGACCATACAATTGCTATCTTCTGGAGGTGATAAAACCAAAATTGTGGTGCTCACTACTTGTGAATCCACCTAGCCAGTTGGCGAGACAAAGTCTACATATTATATGAAAGAGCAAGATATATAAGCAGGACTAAAATGCCCTAATGACCGTTTTAAAGGAAGTCGTAGCAGATGATATGTCAAGGGTGGTACATCTCGAGAACGTTAGCCTACATTTTTTAAGCTTGTCGATTACAATCCATCACAGTGTTCTCATTCTTATCCAGTCTTACTCATGTGACTTACCACCTTGATTGTTTCCGTTGATTATTAAGAGTAAATTTTACACATTATAACAAGTGACTTAATACACAGTGGCTAGCTTGTCCTTTTAAAAGCACAATAACTCGCAATTCGATGTACTTTTCCGATTTCTACTTTTTGTACGTTAATACCCTAACAAGAAAGACACTTCACACTCGCAACGCTGATCTAGAATGTACTGGCACCCTGGTAATTAGGGTTACGTGGGGGCGCTGACGGGTGAACACGAACGCCAGCAAGCCTATTGGGTACCCTTCCTCTATTACTGTATTTGACGGCCATAAATACTGCTGCAAAAATAGCAGCTATTAGTCCAAGGACAATACCAGCAATGGCTCCACCCGAAAGTCCACCCTTGTCGTCATCATCGTCATCGTCGTTGGGGTCTTTAGGAGCATCACTGCTTCCAGGAGCTCTTGTGCCTGAAGAAATAGACAAATCATTAGTTTATAGTAACCAATCACATCACGGCATATGGTCCTAACAGAGAATTCCTCTTACTAACAGACATTTCAAACCATATGTCTCGTAACATTTTACTTGTAGTTATTATAACTCGATCGATCAGTGCCTCACCCCATCCGGGTGTATAAATGGGTACCGGCGAACTTAATGCTGGGGTAACTCTGCGATAGACTACAATCATGGACAAAAGTCTTGGGACAGATTTGCACTTTTGGCGCTTTTACGCACACACCAGACACCAATACAACTTCACCTGCGTAACCTCACCCCCCACCCCTCATACAATATTGAAAACTAGTACCTACAATTTCTTCTGATTTTTTTTTGTATTGGAAGGGGAGGAGGAACAGTAACGCGTTTTCAAAAGGAAAGCAATGCTTTTTTCATACTTCAGTGGTAAAACACATACCATTCGTTAAATTACATCAGTGTCCCAAAGACTTTTGTCCACGATTGTAGCATTCCATCCGTAGAGAGTAGAAATACTCCTAGTCGCTTCATGCGACAGAAACCGGGATACGTTGCGGCCTGATAGGCCACTTGGTTCGTATGCAGACTTTACCTTTACTTTTACCATCTACATCCATAATGAAGGCAGCTTTACTGATTTAACTTGATCACTCCCAGTCAAATTATCTATTTTGCTTTGATTTACATTACGTGCTAAAGAATTTACAGTAAGATTACAAGAAAAACCCCAATTCTCTCATAAAAGAAGGTGATCGATATTAGCAATAAGACAGAACTGTTTCTTGTACAAACTGCCCAGTAAGAAACTCACTGCAACCTACCTTCCTTGCCACCATAACAGGCGTTGATATCAGCGCAGTATTTGCTGGAAAGTGGAGCGTCGTTCTTGTCTCTAACGCACCAATAGCAACCCACTACCCCGTCACATGACCCTGAATCTGTCTTCTCGTTGCATTTTGGGTCAAAGCATTTCTCTAAACCACTTACGGAAGGATCATTGACTTGCTCAGATGGAACGACTGTCGCGGGCACAGGACAAATAGAAGTGCTGCGAAGGGAGTAAAGGGTAAGAGACAACGTTTTTCGGGGAAGCTATGTTTACTTGTGTAAACTCTATTTTACAGTAGTACCCGCACCAATTGGTGGTTTTGCAAGCATTCCCGGAAAATTCAAATCTTAAAGACCGAGGTGGTCATGTTGGATAACAGGAACAATTGGAGCTAATTCAAATTACCGTAAATCATCGAATTAGCGTCCCCACTCTTATGAGCGCCCCCTCCCTCTCCCCTTTTTCTGAACGAGAAATGAGACAACAAAGGATGTATAGTTTTCGTTGTGTAATATTAGTATTGTATTTTGTGAACACGTTTAGTTTGGAAAAAAAATTACAAGTACTAATGGTGCCTTGACATAAACTTTAGGATTAGCTTTTTATGTCGATAAACAGCTTATATTCTTGTTTACACGCAGATGATGTATTAAAAAAATGATCATGTCAGGTCACGATTTGGGAAAAATTAAGCAAACCCCCCCCCACCTCCCACCCCCCTTGATTAATCGCTCCCCTCGAATAACCGTCCCCCGTATTCTCCTAAATTTGAAATAAGCGCCCCGGGCACTGATTCGATGATTTACCGTATTTTGTTCACGGTCATCCAAAATGGCGACGATGACGTCAGTTGCAAACGAGTCTTACACACATTACAAATTGCCATTACTGTCCCTTCCCATGACAAATGTCAACCCTGAGCTTCAAAGTCTAACTGATATCACTAACAGCATCTTACTCCGGTGTCAATCAAAACAGCCAAACCTAAAAACACTAGATCAAGACGTGACTCTTCAAACTGGCTCAGTAAAAGACTTTGTTTCTAGAACCCTTTATGAGATGAATTTTACGACAGTGTATAATTTCGACTTTTAGTCACGGTGGGCACAGAGGACTCAAAATGTGGCAGGGGTCGGCAGTGCGTATTGTCAGCGGTTGCCCAACACACTGAAAACAAATTTTAATATGGCAGCAAGTAAACTTTCGAAGGTTGCAGTTCGAGAGGCAGTTATTTAAATATGTACAGTAAAAGCTGAATCTAACAAAATCAGAATGAAAAACCTTTCACCTTTTGCTTAAGTCTTCGCACTTTAGCTTTCTGAAGATTTAGCTCTCGCGCTGCGGTCAAAACTTTTTCATATTCAAGGGCATTTCTTTCTGGTAGCTCTTTCAGCCCCCTCATCATAGCTCCAGCATCGAATCTTGCGTATACCTTTTTCTTCGGCATAGGCATCCTCGTGCAGGTATTAGATAGTATTTACTTATCTATTTATTTTTCCTCTGTTCGAGAAGATATCGCATTGATAAGGATGCCTGAGGCTGAACTTTCCTCCCAAGAACTGTCACCCAGAACTGCTTCACAGAGGCAGCTATCGAGCAAGTAACCTTGATTATAAAATGACTAAACATCGGTGTGCAATAACAGATTTTAACAAATAAAAAATACAGGTTTCTTCTTTAGGAACTGCTCTTCCCAGAACATTCAAATTTGCCACTGAATAATAACCCACGCAAAAGCCTTTTGAAACCGAAAATGTACAAAAAATAAGACATAACAAGAGGAAGAGTAGTTTTCACAATACCTTAAGCAGCAGGATCTTGTTCGTCGAGTTAAACAAAAAAAAAAAAAAACACACACACAAGTTTGGTACCGTTTGAAATCTCGAAGCTTCAAGCCTTTTCTGGCGACGAGCATTTATGGCAGTATCCGCTTACATATTGATACACAGGGCTCAAAATTAATGATTTACATATAACAAAAAAAGGCAGTCTGAACACCCACCCCCAAGGGGTAACAACTTTCCGCCATTTTGAAAATGGATTTCGCGGCCACATTTTGCGCTCCCTGTGCCCACCGTATGTTTGCGTGCTACTAACAAGCGCAGTACAAAGAGTAGTTGTTTTGTCTTCCTTGCTGGCCGGAAACTCGCTTCTACAATAATGGAAGTTAAGTCGCGAAGAGCATGGACACTGGCAACTCAAACCCTGGACACTGGAGCATTCTTTGTTACTGGAACACGTACAAGACCTGGAGGGGCATGAACTGTCACGTGATATGATTCCTGATGAAAGAAAAAATAACTCAACAACGCGGATCAGGTCAAAGTACAAGCCTGTTTAGAAATCCCAATAAAATGAACTGACAGATTATTGCAAATGAATTGGTTGAAAGTTGCCAAGTAGCAGTTTCTGTATTGGTAGTAAAAAAGAGCTTACAGTTGAGTCAGCGGTATATAGTTTCAGTCGTGCAACGCAGGCTAGATGAAAGATTTGAGATATAATAATAAAGACTAAACGAATACCCCATTACCATAAAAAAAATGATTTTTTTCGTGCCTGTCCATTTGTTCGGTATCAATTAAAAGTTTATTGTCCCGAAATACTTTATATATTATTATGTCTCATGCCTCTATCTCCATCCATTTACACGAGTCTGTCTTAATGCCTAATGACATTTTGCTTGAATGGGAGAGTGGAGTTCTCTGAAGCATGGACGAAAAACCAAGGATTTTAAAATTCTTTTCTGCCATTAAAAGTCAGTGTACTACAAAAAGTATCGTGGGACGGGTTGACATGGTTGCCGACATTATCAACTTTTTTTTACCTAAAAATGCATTGGTTCCCACCATACTAGAGAACTGGTACTTCTTGCAGCGGACTCCACTATCCAGCGTATCCACGCCTTGTAATGGAATCTTAAGCTCGTAGAAGTTTTGTAGCTTGATTTTCTCCAAATTGCGGCATTTTTCTTTCACCAGATAACCTTTCTGTAACAGATCTTCGGCTACGTCTTTTTCCTTTTCAGTAATGTGGACATATTCCAGTGTTTTGGCGGTTATTTCAGGCACAAGGAAATCCTCGTGCATGATTAGAAATCCAGCTGTGTCCAGAACGAAACAGTCAAAGTTGGCTTCTTGACATTTTGGATATGTATCTGTCAGGAGTCTGAAAACAAATTAAGCAATTAGATCATGAGCTCGAGATTTCTATAGCACAATAGTTGACGAGGGCGCAGCCCGAGTCAACTGTCACGCATAGAAATCGAGAGCGAATAATCTAATTGTTTTAATGTGAATTTAATAGTCGTTCAAAACTTTGTCTAAATACTCTTCACAGACACCCCAACCACGAAGCAGGAATACTTTGAATCTTCACACCGTGGATATGTATCGGTGAGTAACCTGTTGCACATAAGGGAAAACAACAAATGGGTTACATAGGTGTAACCGTTGCCTGGCCTACCGATGGCTGACTGTGACCAGCGTGTTGAATTGGTCTTCTACGATTATGATGGTCTGCCTACCTGCCTGACTGAGGGACTAAGTGACTGAAAGACTGTGTTACCAAGTCACTAAGTGACCTGGTGACTGAGTTATTGAATGACTGAGTGACTGAGCGATCAAACGAACGAGCGACCGAACGACCGAACGACCGAACGACCAAACGACCAAACGACCGAACGACCGAACGACCGAACGACCGAAAGACAGAACCACCGAACGACCGAACGACCGAACGACCGAATGACCGAATGACCGAATGACCGAGTCTAATAGTAATTGGTGGAATTCTACTAGTATACCCATGCAAATGCTGCAATCTGATTGGCTGAACTACTCGTACACTATCAGCCATTAGAGTGCAGTGGCTATCAGTAGTCCACGAAATGCGACGTTTTTATCATTTTCCGAAGTTTTGGAAGAAAGTTTAGATGTAAATAGATACTTAAATTCCTGAGCAGATTAAACCAACGACATTAACGGTTTCTTGACTTTCAAAAACTTGAAATTATAGAAAACACGGGTGCGCGCGCGTAAGCAACAGCAAGTTTCCAATGAAAATTCAATCCGCACGATTTTGTTAAAGCGTTAAATTGCACCTAACCCCCAATATTTTTTTTTTTTTCGCTAAAACGAATCCACTTGTTATTCGACGCATTTAGGCGAAATAATTTTTGGATTTGGTTGAATCCTCGATTTTCTATACCCTTTCAAAGTCGCGCTCGAAGTGCCGCACGACCGCGTTTTAGGGAGTCTGGGGCGGTGGTTGCTGATGACGTCTACTCAGGAACCAAACACAATGGCGCCTCAAACAACTCTCTGTACTTGCTCGAGAAAATGGAAAACAAAACTAATCGTTCCAATATATTTTGGGACTAAAACGGCCAAGTTTTGTTTCAGAATCATTTCTTTTTCGTCACTAGAGTCAGAATTAAGTTTCGACTCGGAAGAATCCGAAATAAACTTCGATCGAGCACGTTCGACGACGGGGAAGACTTCTGTGTGGACGAGCTGCTTGTATATTAGAAATGGAAAGCTAGATACGAAGTGGAAGAACAGGCAAACGAAAAGCAGTAAAGAACACTCAAGGACTGCTTTGGATGGTAATTTCGTCACCTAAACACACGCGAGTTTATAGCCCACGCGTTTATTACCACGTGTTTGTAGCCCACGCGGTTATTACCACGCGTGTTTATAGTCCGTTTACGTTTGTCCTTAGCGAGAATGTATTTTGTCAAGGTATGGTTGTTCTATTAAATCCGGTTTGTGTTTTACTTTCTGGAATGCTTCATGTTTATAAGAGCGACGTAAGTGTTGCAGTTTTCGAGACTTGATGACCTCCAAA